CCTCCAAGTTGGAGATGCTGAGGGACCAGGAAAGCAAGCAGTTCTGTCTTGCTGCCAGTAAGATATGAGGCACTGTCTGCAGCTGGAGCTGCAGGGGACTCGCCAGTCTCAGAGGTGTTGATGCAGATTGCTGAATCAGGGACTTTCCTCAACTTTATTTGAAAACTACTTTATATGCTAAAAATTTTCTTCGATTAAAATCAGAGAATATAGGAATAAATCTCAATAGGAATGCCACTTCCTGTTTGGAAGAGATGTACACACAATATGAGAAGAATAGGTTTAATCTGAAAGCTTTTTCACTCCTCTTGTCACAGGCAACTATTGTCAGACTGAATCCAAAAGTTTGCAGAAATACATTGCTTACATTACAAAGAAGGAGGTTTGTCATAAAAACCAACAGAATTGCTGCACACAGACTGTTATTTGGCCTTTAAATTGTAAATGGCTGGTTTTAAATAGGCCTGGTGCAGATGGTTTCTGCTACAGGTTTATTGATTAAAATAGCTGCTTTACATCAGCTCCGGGTTTGTTTCTCCAGAGGCTTTTGTCTTCATGAATAATGTACCCATTTGCTAAAATTTTGTTAGAATTCATCTGCTGGAGGCTGGCTGTATTTCTCTAAGTCCATAAGCCTCGGTTGACTAGGCTCAAAATTGTGACAGTCCCTGCCCTTCCCTCCTTATAAATGAATATTCCTTCTTCCACCCTTCCAGTGCTGAATAAATCTAGTGCTTGCACATTGGAGTGTGTTTGGGGAAGGCTTGTGTGATACTGAAGGCTGTCTTGGCTATACTGGGGATTAGACTTTTTGCCAGTGATTGATCCAAAGCCTGTACGAGTGAGTGGAAAAATTCCAGTCAGCTTTGGATCAGACCATTAACTCTGAGGCACAGTGCTCTTTCAGGTGGGCATGTGTCATGCCTTCAAGATCACTTGTTGATCATTCCCATTTGTTGGAAGCATCTAGTGAATGTATAAGTAGGGGCTTTCTACATTATTATTGAGGGATTTTTACGCATTTCTAAATATTTGTGCCTCATTTCTTGGGAGGCTCTTCTGCATTTTGTGTTAAGCACAAAAGGTGCTGCTTTGCTTGTGAGGCTTGCAAGTGCTGTTCTGTTCTGAGTAGAGCTTGCCACCCTGCAACAGGAAAAGAATGCTACTGCAGGACCTATAGTGAAAGGAAGAGTATGAACAGCATGGAAAGAAAACGGTGGTGGTAACATACCTTCCTTCCTCTTCCTTTCTGATCCCCTTCCATATCATCATAGTAATATTTGTCTTCCCTTTAACTAGTCACTACAGCAATAGCTCTTCATAAAACATCTGTCAAGCTAGAGCAGGGGAAAATTCAGATTAATGCCTTTGGTGAAAATATTTGAAATTGGGCTTCTCTTTCACACTTAGGCGGGGGAAAAGGGCATTGTTAGTGGAAGAGCTAATTTAAATCTCGCGATTCTGGAAATGTGGCCTGTCTTTACTCTCTTGGGGAAGGTGGGGGGTGTGATGAGCCTTTCATTCTACAAGGTTAATTTTACACCGAGATAAACCCAGAAAAAAGTAACAGTTGATATAAAAAATAAGTGATTCTATTATGAAATGACCAGGAACAGGATATTGCACTGCCTGAACCTTTTCCTGAAGGTTTTGAAGGTTTGATTCGTTTTGCCTTTTTTTTTTTTTTTAACCAAATTAAATCCTCTTCAGGGTTTCATTTGACAAGGTGTTTTGATGCAGGTGAGATCACAGATCTTGACAGCATATTAGTTCTTCTGAAGTACCTCTGACCTGTGTTTTATTTTTTTTTTAAGGTATGGAGGTTATGGGATTGATAACTTGCTTCTTTATGACAGTCAAACAGACCACTAGAATCACATTCGGAGGGCAGCTGACAGATGCTAGATAGATGTTTGTGGTGTGGATGTTAGCAGCTGAGAATCCTCCCTTCTCAGGACACCCATCTGGTGACCAGCGCTGCCACAGTATATCCCTCACACTTCTTACAGACCTGAGAGAAAGATGTGTGACCGGAAATATGAGCATCCGCTGGATATTTTTTTTTTTTTTTTTGTCAGGAAAGCCTCCTGTGACTGTGGAGTGAGTGTATGTGGTTTAGAGCAGGTCATTAGACTTCCTTTCCTTCCTCCCTTTAGAGCCTGTCGTAAGCATCAGGTAAACCAGACAATGCATAAAATGCCCAATACTGTTGCTGTGGACTTTTCAGCAGCCTCACTTCCTTATGTTCTAGTTACAAGCAAGACTCCCCTTGGTGTAGTTAGGCCAGTTCTTGAATGATTTGGAAAATCTCTCTTCCTGCTAAAATGTTTGCCCTGAAATTGTAGGACAATGTTGAGGGTTGTCTCTACTCTTTGCCAAAATATTTTGTTAGTAGTGGGACAAAGGAAGCCCAGTTTATTGTGGCTGAGCCTTTGGTATCTCCACTGGTGGAAGCTCATTAAGACTTTCCTGTGGCTGAGGTATTCAAAACCTCTCTTTGTGGCTTTGCAGCTATGTCAAAAAATTTGAGCTTATGCTATTGCGTTTCCTTGTGAAAGCAGGAATTGACTGTCCAAGCCCTCTGTTAGCGACGGGTGAAATGAATTTTATTAGGGTGAGGCAGAGAGGTGCCTATGTACACACCAAGATGCTGTAATTATGTAAACCTTATTTTCTCAGGATACCAGGCTACAAGGTTCCAAAAGATGCTTGATCAAGCCTGTCAAATGAAAAAACTGCTAGTAGCAAGAGTAATACCTGTTAGATTTCTCCCTGTTCAACCACTGTGTTCAAGGCATGCAGCAAAGCAACAAAGGTACATGGCAATAGTATGTTGAAAAATATATACTAATTTTGGACACACTAAATAGGCACAAATGTATTTTTCATCCCTCCCTTCAATGTTTTAATTGAGAAGGCGGTGCTATTGCAATAGTGTATCTGCTGTTGTAGATGCTTTAAGGAATTAATGACATCTGTTTAACCAGGCATAAAGAAGAGCCAAATTATGGGATAATCTGTGCTATTTATCTTATAGTTTCAAATAAAGATGTGAAAGGTGATGAAACTCTGCAATTAAGAAACAAAACATAAGAATAAATTCTACTGATGCTGTGGGGTATTGTGTTAGCCTGTTGTCTTTAACTGTGTAGGAAACACATTGTGCTGAGTTTTGAACTTCAGAAGGGCTTCCGCTAGGGGTTGCAGAGGAAGGCCTATAACTGACTGGTCAAAGCTCTGGGGCAGTCCTAGTAATGCCTGCTAATCCTTTGGGTTACCTGCGTTCCAACTGTATTTCCACAGACACGGCTGAAGCGCAAGGGCAGAGCTCGCCTGGTTGGCAGTAGAGCAGGATACATGCCTAGGATGTTCAGCAGCAATTGCAGGATTTAATGGGAGTAGAGGATTAATTAATTCTGATCCATACAGACACATTGGCTTCTTGCACAGTCAGAATCTTAATTAGGCAATCACATCTTTTCCTTTCTCAGTGACCATTGCTCCAGCTGTGCTGTAACTCTTTCCTCTCTTTCTTTGCAAATCTCTCTCTCTTCTTTAAAACTAAAAAATTTGCATACATCATTAGGAAATTTTCCTTCTTTTCTTTCCATCTTTCCTGTTTGCATCTACATATTTGCATATCTACTTCTGCTGTCCTGTAATCCCTCAAGCTACATTTTCAGATTCTTGTTATGAAATGAGATCATGACTCCTTCCTTCCTCAGCTCCATTTTACCTCTAAATCCAGGGTTCTTAACCCTTCTTTCCCCCATCCCCTCCTGATTCATTTAAACATACTTGTGCTCTTTTCCGCTTTGTTCTTTCTTTTCCCTTCACCCCTCTGTCTGCTTTTCTTATGTCAGCTTTGATCTGTTTGCTGGCACCCCTGACATGTTTACGTCTTTAGTAATTTGTTATTTTTGTACATTGGTGCAAAATTAAATGTATCTTGGAAAGGAAGCATGCGTTGTCCCATTCACCACAGAAATAAATTCCTTGTTACCTGTGGGGGGAAGGCTATATATCTGAAGCTGAAAATCTTTGTTGGGGAAGCACTGAGGCAATGATCTGATCCACTGTGTGCTGTCAATCTGGTCTAAATAGCCAACGTGCATCCCAGATTTGGCTGTACAGTTAGCCTCCGCTTGGCTAAACTGAGCCACTGCAGCAAAGGGGAAAATGGAGGGCAAATACCTTATACCTCTTCATGTTCCTTTGTTGTGGGTGCTGAACAATACAATGAGGAGTGTGATCATTAGTGGTGGGAGATGTGACACAAATCCCTGGAATTTAGTGAGGTCCTTCTGTTCATCAGCAGGGGCATGGAGAGATCCCTCAGGTTGTATAACCCCTCAGTCTCTTGGAGTGTTATCAGAGGCCTGAGCCACTAAATAGGGTAACCTGTAACTCTTGTGTTGCTGCTGTAGTGTTGCTTTTTAGTGTCCAGACTTTCTTTTTGCCTGTTTATGTTGCTTTTGTGAAGATGGCATGAACTGTTGTTAATTATGACTAGTGTTTTATGCTAGCCACCACATTGATTCATGGTAAGAATAATGGCCGCCTTAATAGCTGTGAGTTCGTGTGAATCTGTAATTTTCTTAACCATCCCTAGTTGTGAGGTTTCCTCCTGGCCCACACTTATGGTACCTTCAATAATTCTGGAGGACCATGACTTTCTGAACAGGAATGTCAGCTATTTCTAACAGTAATAGTAGTAAATAGGTTTTTACTACTTAGCACTGAGTGCTTAACAGTGCAACTGCCCAGATGCCTCATGGACGTGACTCCATACGGCCACTCTGGTCTGCAGAACCTGCTGCTAGTGTATGTCTCTGCCCTCTTCTGCTCTTTTCCTGTCAGATGCCTTCAAGCCTTCCCTTCTAAGGAATAAAGAATAAAACCTTCTAATTCCTTCATATCCCATTCCCCAGAGTGAGATTGAACCTTATTTGTGGCCTTTTCATACCAAAGATTGACTGGACTTTGTTGTTTTATTCCAGGTCACCAGTATCTTCAGAAGATCAAGGTAAGATCTGTTTTACACATGTTAATAGCATGTTAAAAGTGGGACTAAAGACTAGCTAGTAAGCTGTGATTGAACACAGTTCTGGAGGAGAAAAATTACTTTCTACAAATGAAACTGTCGCTCAAACATTGTTCACCCCTAGATGCCAAGTGCTTGCTCATTTAGCTGGGGCTAGCAGAAATCAAGGCTGTATTGAGTTACTTGTAAAATGAATCTTGCTCAACAAACTGAATGATTGCAAGTGTTTGAGATTCCTATATACAACTGCGTAGGGCTTCACCGATGGAAAATTATAGGTGAGTTTAAAACATGACGTGATTTTCATGAAGATGAGTTGATCTCCCTCTTGTAGAACAACACCTTTGTAGCAGAGGAGAGTGTATTATGCTTTAAAGGCTTGAACCCACATTATCTTGGTTTACCTCTAAAAATAGTTTGGTAGAGAAGGATAGAATTTAGTGCAGCCAGGAGTTTCTACATGTAAAAATCTCATGGCTAGAGTAGCAAGAGTTGCACCTTATGGTAATATACTTGCTCTGAAGGATCTGATCTTTGCCTATGGACTGAGGAGGGAGTGTGCAGTAACTAGCTGGTTAATAACTATCACCAACTTGGGTGCTTAGAGATAGGTAGTATAAATATCTCTCCAGAGTACATTAAAGTATGGTCCAGAGTACCTTAAAGTATGGTTGCATTGGTACTGAAATCCAGAGGCATACTGCAAGTGTGGCAGTAATTGCACTAGCAGAGTTGCACAAGGAATGGAAAAAAAGAAAGGAGGAGACTGTAACTGAGATGAGAAAGTTCATCACGTAGCTCTGAATCTGGAATATTATTTTGAACCACAAAACAAATAAATATCTATTTTCTTCTGACATTCAATTTGTACGTGGTTAGGCAATCAGCAAAATTTCTGGACAATACAATAAGTATTATTCAAGAAAAGTCCAGATGGGGAATAGTAAAGAGGTCTGCAATGGAAATGTAAGGAGGTCTGAGCCTGGAACTATGTCACTTGGAGTGTGGAGTGACTAGTTAGGTATCAACCTACATAGTTCTTGGCTCCAGCCAAGACCTTTTTAGTCCAGTATAATGTCTGTCAAACATACTGTCATTTAATAAATTCACTTCCGTCTCCTCAACATGCAATTTCTTAGTAAAGTAAGTTATAAAAATGGACAAACATGTCAGACCAAAAATATATTTACCCCATCTAGTCCATTCTTAGTGTGCGATACCACTGGATCCCATGACACGTAAGAGTATGAGAATGGCATAATCATACAGTTTGAATTTTCTAGTGTACCTGTATCAACTCCCTGTGATTTACAGCTCATTGACTTTGAGAACCAGTTTTCTTGTTTAATAGCTCATCTGCTTTTTAGCAGGACAACAGCTTCTTTATATAAAGTACTGAAGACTTGTGAAACATTAACAATATACCACATTTCTCCAACCTTCAGAAGAAATTTGAAAACATTATGGCTTAATATACTGTTTCAAGACCTGGACTCAAGCTACTTTTCGGTGCTTAAGCTTGTTAGTGATAGACTGCTCTTGCTTCTCATTTCCCTTGCATTTATTCTATTGCTTCATTTTTATCTATTAATGGAGCAACAGACAATGTAAATGTATTTCCTTGTATATCTTTTAACTTTAGTATTTCCTGCTGTCCTAATGCTTTCCTTCTTTCCACTATTTTTATACTGTTCTAGCTTTTCACAAAAAATACCAGTTTTCCATCTACCATCTGCTGACAGGGTCTGGCTTTTCAGGTTTGATAAAAATTTCTAAGTAGCTTCTTCCTTCCCTTCCTTCCCTTTCGCCCACAACCTCTGAAATGCAGGGTGCAAGGCTTATGTTCCCTTGACCAATTAGTGAAGTGATAGTGCTAGTTATGATATATTTTGTGTGGAGTATCTGACTAGATTTGTCATCCTCATAAATATATAGGACCTTCTCTCAAACACAAAGGATTTGGGAGTTGATTCTCCCTCTCTACTCAGCTCTCAGTTCTGGGGACCCAACATAAGAAAGAGACATGGACCTGAAGGAGCGAGTCCAGAGGAGGCCATGAAGATGCTCAGGGGACTGGAGCACCTCTGCTATAGGGACAGGCTGAGAGAGTTGGGCTTGTTCAGCCTGGAGAAGAGAAGGCTCCGGGGAGACCTTATTGCCCCTTCCAGTACCTGAAGGGGCTACAAGGAAGCTGGGGGGGCCTTTTTACAAGAGCCTGTAGTGATAGGACAAGGGATAATGGGTTTAAATTGAAAGTGGGGAGGTTTAGATTAGATATCAGGAAGAAGTTTCTTCCTGGAGAGGGTGGTGAGGCACAGGCACAGGTTGCCCAGAGAAGCTGTGGATGCCCCATCCCTGGAAGTGTTCAAGGCCAGGCTGGATGAGGCTTGGAGCAACCTGGTCTAGTGGAAGGTGTCCCTGCCCATGGCAGGGGGGTTGGAACTAGATGGTCTTTGAGGTCGCTTCCAACCCAAACCATTCTATGATTCTATGATTTCATACGCCCCAGTAAGTTTTCATAAAGAGACATCCAATACTTGTTTTTTCTCTCTCACACTATGCCACACATAGATCATGGTAAATGAGCACAGTACTAGAAGGAAAATGTGACAAAAGTGATGTAGCACAAATTGTTTGAGCTTAGGTGCTTCTCAGTTCCCATTGTGCATCTGTGCAAGCCTCTCAAATTAGTCTTGGATCTGAAATCTCTTACCTAAACAAAAAAGAGAGCATCCAGAACAGAGCTGAAAACTTATCCCTGAATTGCCTGTCTCTTATACTGCTTATGCAGACCTCTCCTGGTATATTTTTCTTGGAGTCAGTTTTGCGATTCTCATTGTAATTAATAATCAGTACTCAGCTGTAAGCCTATTCAAGATGTTAAACATCCATATGTAGTTTTATAAAACAGTAATGCTTTGGGGCAAGATCTAACTGTAAAACAACCTACCCTCACTGGCATCAGTCTATGTCCTGTGCTCTTCCCTATTATGGGGCACTTTGCTCGTGCTGATTTTCTGCTGTTGTGATGCGTTGACCATTACTGAGAAAAGGCACTTTATCTGTTGTGTTTGGATCTTTCGTTTTAACTTCCCATTTGGTTCCTGATCTTTGTTTTTTCTGCTCTAATCTTCAGCCCTCATTTTTCATCTACTGTTTCTCTGTTGGTATTTTGTTTGTTTGTTTGTTTGTTTCTTTTCATCATGCTTGTCTTCTTTTTCAAATGTCTCTTTTCCCTTCACTATGAGGTTGCATTTTGGATAGATTCTTGCACTGTGTGCCTTGTTTTGGTATCTGAATGTTCTGCTTCTCCTCCAGCGTGGACTGTCTGCTTCAAGCATTAGTTGCAAGCTGTAGCTGTAGCATCTGTAGTGCAGTAACAGAGTTGCTACCAGAATTAGCATCTAATGTGAGTGGCACTTCCATTAATCCCTGACAGGACAATGCATTATGCTGTCTTGAAGAGAGGGTGAGGATAAAGCACCATCTGTCTGGGACTGAGCATCTACTGGACAATTGGAACAGCACACAATGCTCCTTGTTGTGGACACGTGTTAAAGACACCCTTATCAGTTACAAAACAGAGCCATTATAATTGGCACAGAAAGGGAAACAGTACTGCTAAAAATCCCAACTTAAAAGAAAAAAACCCCAAATCTCTTAAAGATTTTTAGAAGGTTTTTGTCTTTGTTCTTGGTACAGGTAGTTAGGAAATACATAACTAAAGAGTGAAATTCATCTCCTTTCTTTCTTTCTTTTTTTTTTTTTCTTTTAAACACAACCCCAGAAAAAGAGCAGACAAAACCCATAATCCCCAAATGCCCTAACTGACTGACAAAACAAAACAAGCTAAGTAAATACCAAAGCATAGTGATGTTTGTGAAGAATGAAAAGGAAGGACTACCTGTTCAGGCAAGTGAGCCCTGATGCAGTTACATGCCCTGCAGCCTTGGAGGACAATGTCTTCCTTTGGGCTTTGGGACTAGCTGAGAGTCAACAATGGGAAAGTGGCAGGATCACCGAAGACCCGATAGATGTCTGAGGGAGAGGACAGGCAGCTCCCCTGTTAGTGTATGGTACCACCTGTTCTATTTTCACTCTGTAAATGTCCTGGCTTAAGATCAGGAGATCTGAAGCTGTTGGACCCTACTGCCTCAGATACAAGAGGTTATTGAAAGCAACCCTATCCATTGTTTCTAGATGAGGTGTGGTACTGTGATGGGAATACAGACTTCTAATCCATTGAATGGCCAGTACACAGTCATTCACTGATTATCACTGGGTGAATGGTTGAAGTTTACTATACCCTTCCCTCATCCAGCACCTTTCAGTACTGCACTGTACACTGTATGTATGCTAGATTGTACTCTGGCCCCTTCTTATGCACATCTGGCCTGCACAAATATGTCTACAAATTTTCTGATGCCAATACATTGAATAATATTCATATGTAAATTTTACCAAATGTAAAATTACCTTTAGTTTTTGGGTTATCTTTACCATTTTTGGTTACCCTGTGTAACTGAGTTGGCTGTTCTTCATGTTCATCTGAGCAACTGAGGGAAATGCTCTTAAAAAGAGTACAATGAGGTCCATTTCCATTTCAGTCTCCTGAAAAAAAAAATACCAGCACACTTTGGAGTGGTGTGTGGACATTGACATGTTATTTATCTAATGGCAACTTGGAGCTGATGCAGCTCAATACTTGTTTGCCTAACTTCAGACAGGGGAACCTTGCCTTTGATGGAACTACTCAAAGTTTTAAGTGGCTATACTAATGCATCTCAAGTAGCAGTCAACCCCAGTGCTTAGTCCTTATGCATCTGAGTTGCGTTCTGATCTGGAGACAGGACGTTCCAAATATTTATGTCTCTGGTCTCTTGCTGTTCTTGTTTCTCTATAAAAACATGAAATTGGCCATTTTGCCTTTTTTTGTTTCTAGCAGACATGCTTTATTGCTGCATCAGCATAATTTTCTAGCA